GGGCCGGGGGCGGGGCCGGGGGCGGGGCCGCTGTGGCCGGCGGGCCGGAGCTGCTGGACACCTACGTGGCCTATTTGGACGGCCAGGCCTTCGGGGGCAGCGGGACACCCGGCCCGCCGTACCCCCCGCAGCTCATGACGCCCTCTAAGCTCCGAGGCCGCGCTCTGGGGACGGGTGGAGGCCTGCGACCCGGCCCCAGCGGGGGACTCCGAGACCCTGTCACCCCCACCAGCCCCACCGTCTCCGTGACGGGCGCTGGCAACGACGGGCTGCTGGCCCTGAGCGCCTGTTCGGGGCCCTCCGCGGCAGCTGTGGCCGGTGGCCCGGTAGCAGTAGAGCCAGAAGTCCCACCGGTGCCCTTGCCCGCGGCCTCCTCCCTGCCTCGGAAGCTGCTCCCCTGGGAGGAGGGCCCGGGCCCGCCGCCACCACCCCTGCCCGGGCCCCTGTCCCAGCCGCAAGCCTCTGCCTTGGCCACCGTCAAAGCCAGCATCATCAGTGAGCTCAGCTCCAAGCTCCAGCAGTTCGGAGGCTCCTCGGCAGCTGGAGGGGCTCTGCCCTGGGCCCGGGGAGGCAGCGGGGGCAGTGGGGACAGCCACCACGGCGGACCCAGCTACGTCCCCGAGAGGACCTCCTCCCTGCAGCGGCAGAGGTGAGCAGGGCTGGGGGCCGCCGGCTGGCAGTGGTGGGCACGAGTGTCTCCCCATAGCTGTGTCCCCTGAGGGTTCCGGGGTGACAGAAAGACGCAAAGCAGGCTGGCTTGCGGGGACTTGCCCCGGGGGAAGCTCTAATTCACAAAGGCTTCAAACGCACCTCCTGAGGTCCCCATCTCCCTCACAGCGAACAGTCCCGGAAGAACAACCCTATTAATAACAAAGGAGATGTCGGTGTCCTTTGTACCTGGGGTGGCTCAAGACAGGGCCCACCCAGCCCAGCCTAGCACTTTCAGGCTGGATGATCTTAGGTGAAGGAAGCTAGGTTTCTCAGAATGGGGGCAGCACCAACCCCACCTAACAGGGCTTTGGCGCGGATTTGAGGTGCACCGTGTTATAAGCCGAGATGGAGGAGGAAAGGGCCTCTCCAAGAGCCCAGCACCACGCAGATGGGGTGATGCAGAGGTCCCCCCTCCCCCACAGCTGCTAGTGAGCGGAGATCACCCAAAGTCCAAATCCCTTCAAGAAAGTGGTCAGTGACAGGCACCCAGCAGGAGGGAGCACTTTAAAATTTTATCCACCTGCGAGGCTCCCTGCTGTCCCGTTTGGGCGACCCTGTGGTTGCCTTTGAAATGAAGGTTTGTGAAGCTGCTAAAGTCCCTGTGGGTCACTCATGATTCCGGGTGGTGAGGATGCTTAACCTAGCTCGGTCAGGGACCGATCACCTGCCAAGTGTGGGGTGCCCTTCCGGGGATGATGACCCTGCAGTGGGCGGGGCAGGCACAGCTCAGGGCCCACTGAGGCGGGGTGCAGGACAACCGCAGTTGCCCCCATGCTCCACCCTCGCCGGGTGGCAGGGAGACCAGAGCCCAGGAGGGCAGGAGCCGGTGGCAGGCGATGGGGAAGACAGCCTGTGGTGAAGCGAGCTAAGGGATGAGGGGAACCTTTTTCTCCCCTTGTTTCTTCTCTCTTTCATCTCCCTCTCTTCATCTCTCTCTTTCTCTGTCCCCTGACCCCGTCCATCTCTCTCCCCCACTGCACATCTTTTTTGTTTCTCTCTCACTGTCCCTGTCTTCCACGCTGCTATTACTGGCCGTAACCCCAAAGGCAGTATAGAGTAGTGGTGAAGAGCTCAGAGTTTGGTGCCATATAACCGGGCTCTGCCACTTCCTGGCTGTGTGTCCTTAGGCAACTTCCTAAACCTCTCTGTGCTGCTAATGATGATGATAGTAACCTGCAGCAGGGCTATTGTGGGGATTAAATTCAGATGCGATATGTAAAGCACTTAGACCAATGCCTGGCACACGTGAGCAGCAGTAAGTGGTGGCAATGATTATTATTATCACTTAATGTCTCTTTTTCTTTCATCTCTCGACTGTCGCCCTCCCCCCGATCGACTGCTCATCTTCTGTCCTGACGGCCATCTCGCCCCTCCCCCCCCTCTTCTCCATCTGCTCCCGCCACGCTCACGCCTCTCCCCGTATCTTGACCTCTGCCTCTTTCTCACCCCGCCCTCATCCCCCCACCCCTGTCCCCGCCCGGCCCCTGTGCCCCGCCCCTTGCAGGCTGTCCGACGACTCCCAGCCCTCACTCCTCTCCAAACCCGTCAGCAGCCTGTTTCAGAACTGGCCCAAGCCACCTCTGCCGCCGCTCCCCACCGGAACGGGGGTGTCGCCTTCGGCCACCGCAGCCCCTGGGGCCATCTCCCCCTCCGCCTCCTCCTCCTCCACCTCCTCCCGCCACCTCCAGGGCGTGGAGTTCGAGATGCGGCCGCCGCTGCTCCGCCGGGCGCCCAGCCCCTCGCTGCTGCCCGCTTCGGAGCACAAGGTCAGCCCCGCGCCCAGGCCCTCGTCTCTGCCCATCCTGCCTTCGGGACCCCTCTACCCGGGCCTCTTCGACATCCGAGGCTCCCCCACCGGAGGGGCGGGAGGCTCTGCGGACCCCTTTGCCCCCGTCTTCGTGCCGCCGCACTCGGGGATGTCCGGGGGCCTCGGAGGAGCCTTGTCGGGGGCCTCTCGCTCCCTGTCGCCGACCCGCCTGCTGTCGTTGCCCCCGGACAAGCCGTTTGGCGCTAAACCTCTGGGCTTCTGGACCAAGTTCGATGTGGCCGATTGGCTCGAGTGGCTGGGCCTGGCCGAGCACCGAGCGCGGTTCCTGGACCACGAGATCGACGGCTCCCACCTGCCCGCCTTGACCAAGGAGGACTATGTCGATCTGGGTGTCACCAGGGTGGGCCACCGCATGAACATTGACCGGGCTCTCAAATTTTTCCTGGAGAGGTGATGGCTGGCCCGGACGGACCAGCCCGTCCACAGAACCCTCGGGCCAGCCGGCCTCTCGCTCTCTGACCCCGGACCATGTTCTCTCGCTCCGTTCTCTCCCGGGCAGGGACTCTGCTGAAACTGTGCCCTGCCCTGTCTCCCAAGGCCTGAGGTCACCAGGTGGCCCTACAGGCCGGACATTTGCACCTCACAGGAGGGGGGCCGCTGACATGAGAACGCGTGTGACTCTCTGGGGAGCGGAGGGGGGTTGGAAGGTATCACACGGGGACTGAGGAGGAGGGAAGGGTCGATCCTGGGGGAGGGGACAGACAGAGCCATAGAGGGTCAGCCCTGAGCCTGACCGGATGGGGGCGAGCCCCAGACCGCAGGGGAGGGGTGCCCTCACATTCCACCACCTGCCGCCCCTCTAGCAGCCTTCCCGCCTCTCCAGGCCCCTTAGCTCCCCCTCGCCTCTGCCCTGCGCACACAGCTGTCCTCCCCCCTTGCACGCTCAGCTCTGTTGCACGCCTGCTTGCCCACTCTGCTCCCCCTCAGCTGCAATTTTGCACAAATTTGCCCTCTCGCTATCTTGCACACTCCGCCTTCCCTCCTGGCTTTCAGTTTTCCTTGCACCGTGTTTCGTCCCCCAAGCCCCCCAGTGCTCTTGCGCACCCCTTCTCCCTGGGGCCCTCCCCTCACGAAGTCTCCCCCACCTGCCTTCCGCTCACGGCGGTCCCATGATGCAGACACATATGGGACCCACTTTCCCTGCCCCCCCAGCCCCTGCACACTCCCGCCCTGGGGCTCCTGTCTTTGCTCAACTTCTGCACACTTGCTGTCTCGTGCTCCCCCCATACATGCATCTCCATTGTCACGCTGAAGTACCTCCCCTCCTCACCGAACCCCCATCCTGACTGTGCTCACAGTGACCCCCCATTGCACTGTCACTTTGGCCCGCTTCCCGCACTCGCGCCCAGCAGAACTGCTTCCACACGCCCATCCCCACGCCCTCTGCGCAGCCGGTGCCCAGCCCGGTCCTTGGTTCTTCCATGAGCCCACTTGCACACGCGCCTTCCCCAGTGCTCTCCTGGCTCCCTGGGGCCTCCTCTTTGCTAATGCACCCCGACACGGCTGTACGCGCCTTGGCCTCTGCCCACTCCAGGCGGCTTTCCCACCCGCCCAGAGCTCCACCCTCCTCCCTTTGCGCCCTCTGCCTCCCACGTGCGCGCGGCCGGCTGCCGTTTCCTTCCCGATGCCTCGCTCTGTCCACCTCGCTCCCAGCTTGCCAGGCTTCCTCTCTCCGCCTGCCACGCCCTCTCCGGGCCATTTCCCCCTCCATGCTGCACGAGTATCCCCCTCCAGGCTTCCCTTCTCTCCAAGGCCCCCTTCCTCCCTCCGGCATGGCTGCTCCCTCCCGCACGCTGCCCTTACACCTTATTCCTGGGGCTTGGGAAATTTACAGCCACCCCTCCCCCTTGGAAGCCCCCTCCCTTGCTGTGGGTAAAGGGGGAGGGCACTGCCCTCAGGTTCCCCCCATGTTCAGCTGCCAAAGAAGGGCGCTCCCCTCCTTCCCCCAAGCCCATCCCCCCTGCTGCCCCCACCCCCACGGGGGGCGCTCCGTCCACGAGGGGAGGGGCAGCCCTCCCCTCACCATGTCAGGGATCTGCGGGGAACCTTGTGGGAGGGTCGTGGGAGGGGGGAGGGGTGGCAGGAGAGAAGCAGAGGTCGAGCTGGGCCCCTACCCGCCCCCTCCCCCTGGTCGGATGCCCCCAGTCCGCGGGGGGCCTGCGCGGCGCCTGTCTATCAAGGGCTTGTTCATTCTGGATGGGTG